ACCTTGAGTGTTGGTCCGACCGAGGCTTGAACCCTCGACCTTCCGTGACAGTCCGGCGCTCTAACCATTGTAGTCTATTGAGCGGTGTTAGTTTTCATTACCATTGATTTTGCTCAGGCATCGACAGAGTACAAGATTTTTTGATCACTGCAAAGTGTCGAGACAAGTGGTCATTTGAATAGCTTAATATCTCTTGACCAACGTATTCGTTTTTTGTAGGTCAGACTATCTCAGATTCAGACATCAGGTCATCACATATATGTTCTAGCTGTGTTAATGCACCAGTCTCACTGGGTAACATGACCCCTTTTACAAGAGATAATAAACTGTCTATAATCCCTTATCCTTCTATTACTCTACGAAAATAAGAATATTTCGAAAATATTGATAAACCCTCAAATGATATGGTTGGTTTTTTTGGATATTGAATCTGACGTGCTTTTACAAAGTTCCTATCTGGAAAGGAGCTCGAGGCAGGGGGAAGAAAGGCTCAAGCAGTCCTAGAGTCCTTATGCTAACAATGTCGAGCTTCCTGAGAGGCAGAGAAACGTCTGTGTTTATAAAACTAGGATGTTGGAGCTTGTTTTCTCCAAACCTAACTGAAATATTAAAATAACGTTAAATTTCACTCCTTCCATCCATCGTTCCATCACTGCGTCCTTGCATTCTTGTTTTAACTTCCTGGTAAATCCGCTTACTGACACAGAAGGCTGGCGCATATATTATTTCTTCACAAGAAGTGTGGATGGGGCTTAGTAATATTTTGAACGGATTGCTGGCGGGAATTTCGTGTTTATAACAGGGCTAAGATTAAAGCTTCGAGTATATGGTTTGCGTACATATTGGGCCGTTGAAGCTCTCGGAAAAACTGTATACTTTTGAAGAGGCAAGAAGCCGTCTTATATTTCATTGTGTATAGGTCTCATATAAAACAATATTTTGACTCCGAAATTGTACACACATTCTACTTTTCATATACATCGTGGAGAGTTGTACCGTTTTATTAACTGTACTGCGCGCCCAATACCACAACACCATATGACTGGTATGCTCAGAGCTTGAAACCCTGGAAGGTTTGCTAAGCACTCGGCTAACGCCTCGCGCGACTCTTACGCTTCTTTCGTGCTTAGCAACCATCCGCGTGTATCCATGATTCATTATAGTTCACCACTAAATTTTCTCCGATTCTTATTGGTTTAAATTGATCACGTAACGTGATAGTGTTCATGCGTGAAGAGACACTATCAGCCCATACTGCCCGTCCGCGGAAAATACCCGGATGGATAGTGCCCGTCCGCGGAAAACACCCGGATAGATAGTACTCATCCGTGAAACATTTTCTGTACTAAACAAGCAGGATTCGTTGTAATAAGTATGGTTACTCGATTCACCGAGGTCAGCGAAGAAGATGTAACTATTGACATTTGTGACAGGCTCTACGCATGAATAAATATTTGATTGATCTGCATTTAGTGTTTTGACTGTTTTTTAGCGGTAAACAATAAAGACAATAAGTGTTTATGAGTCGGAACTATCGGTCTGATAGTTGCCCCTTGGAAATTTGATGTTCTTAAAACTAGCATATTTGCTTTAAGAACATCAATTTTCCGCGGGGCAACTATCAGCCGATAGTTCCTTGACAGAAACACTCTTGGTGAAACACTCTTAGTGTACGCTATGGTGTTTACCATTTGAGGAAAGAGGAAACGCTTAGACAAACAAGGCTTAAGGAGCGAGGGGCAATCCTAGTACGCATGAAATAAAAAAAGGTCAGTATTCTCGTACACTCGCCACGGCTTCTTTTCCGTCAGCAAAACATTTTTATAGATAAGATTTCACGTAAAGAACTTTGAGTCAGCTGTGGTCAGACGAGCCCAGAATATCGTTCGAGTCAGTGAAATTCTACCTGTTGGCCTCTCGCAAATGTTTGTGACAGTTGTCACTGGTACGTTCCAAACACTTCGTAGTCTGTCACACAAAAATATTTAGCTCCTGTGAAGAATGTGCTCTGGTGTCCGGTGGGAAGCTGGTACGAGTAGCCGAGATTACTGTAACTTGAATCATTTAGGTCTGCGTCATTTGATATGTGTAAGTCAAACCCTCCTCCAAATGTTGGTCCATGACTGCAATAACAGAAAATGGCTTTTCTCTGATTGTTAGCAAGTGGCATTTTACTCGGAGCCACCCCCTGTGGATTCACCATGCTGAACAAGAATGACTGTGAGCAATACAAGTAGATATTCTGACCTGTTTCAGAAAAAAGGAAACAAAAATATGATCAGTTAAAATGTTGCACTTTGACTGAGCGGACGTCATGGGTTCAAATCCCGTACAGGCCTGAATTTTTTTCAGGCCTTATTTTCACAACTGCAGTGTTCATTACTGCGACGATTGCTTTCATGTACATTTCTTAAAACCGCAGTTCGCATACATGATTTTGATATATTTTCAATCATGCTGTAACTTGTTTTCTCTAACCCCGACTAAAACATGAAAGTAACGCATTAGCCCTTAAGTAGCCATAGCACACCTTTAAAAATTGCTTTGAACGAGCTCTTGACAGTCATACTTCATATTGTTTATCATTTGGAATGCGTGTCAATATTTGAAACATTTTGAAGATAATTTTTTATGTTAAATCTGGTTATATTTCATTTTCATTTCCTTAACATTCAATCTTCAACAAAGATCCTAAGCCACCTTTTCTCCGTTGTTCAATTATCGTTGTCTGTTTCCGCTTTTCTGTTATCCTGCGGATTTTTTGTGTCCTTCGAACTGAACTTTATTTTTAACGCCGATAACTGTGACCGAAAATTCAGGCTATACTTAACCCTGTAACAATTTACTTACTGTTCCAAGATGTTTCTGTGAATCCTCCAAAAATGTTGTTTCCTCTCTTCACAATGGTAACAGTTGGCCCTTTGTTGTCACATTTGGAGTGGAAAGTTTGAGCTGCAAAGCCATCTTGAGAAGCTCGCATCAGAAGCTGCCATTTGCCTTCAAGTGGAGGCAACCAACCACTCAACACATTTCGGTGCTCTTCATTAGTCAGAATCACTGATTCTTCGAAATTTTTCGGAAATTTAGGCACTAACTCGTCCAATATCCCTTGGATCTGGTAGAACTTTGCTTCAGCTTCGAGTTCTTTCAGAAATGTCGCACCTTCTGGTAAAATCAACTCCCCACTACGAAGATAATTGAGTATAAACCGGAAGTGGGTTCCATCTCGGTCGATAAAGAAAGCGCCGTCATCAGTTGGCTTCATCTCAAACTTCCCTGAAAACATGGCAGCCAGCATGGAATTTGGATCTTTGGTCAGCGTTTGAAGACTTGTGGTGAAGCGATGGCCGCCAACATTTAGTTGTATAGTAGAGGTAAAGTGAATATGTTCCAATTTCTTCGACATGGCGTCGATAGCTCTCTGCTCGTGTCGAAGTCTTGCAGCTTCTCTTTGTAACATATCGCAGGCTTGTTTGATATGACTTTCAGCGTCTGTTAAGACTTGATTTTGCTGTTGGTCGTTTTCTTCAATATTTGCCTCACTCATAGTTTTGTTTCCGCTACTGAACTATCACAAGAATAAATGTTATTTTTCCTTAGGAAGTTTTCGAGGCACTACAATGTGGAGTTGCGTGACATTAAGATGATTTGGAGAGGGACTGGTAAGAAAAACGAGTCAAAGCAAGCTGTGTAAACGGTGTGTGACATTTGCATACTATGCAACTTAAATGACACTAAAAAGGTCGAATCAAGGTAATGTCATTAACATGATTACCTTATTCAGAAGCTTTTAAGGAAGTGCTAAAAAACTTAGTAAATGTACTGCTGGTTTTAAAACCATTCAACAAATAAAGTGAATAATCAAAGGGAAAAAATAAGACGAGACGCTATGGTTGTACCCCCAACAAAAGCATATGTCATCGATTTTTGCTATAAATAGCACGTAATCGTCTTCTTAAGGCTCATAAACATCTTTATGAGTACTTTTTCTCATTCAAGGACTGTTCAGATTACGATATCTCAGCAGATAAGTCCCTTTTTTTTAACCTACGTGACAGCATTTCGATATCATGTCACGCAAAAGCTGAATTCAACCTTGCTTTAACACAAGACGAAAAACCCCAGTAAACTGAAATTTTGTGAAAAGTAAACTCTTGAACTGTTCTAATAACGTACTAAACCAAAATCTCTTGAGGATGGTGACGTTACGTGAATACCAAGAAATTCTATTGAGAAGACAATTGTAAGGTTTGTCGTTGGAAACATAATTCACAGGAATCAATAAATTTGTATATAAGCATTTCATTTAGACAAAAATGGTATGGTTTCTGAAGCAAGCTTTAAGATTTCGTTCGTAAAGCAAGAACTGCTCGAGACATCCCTGTCAACTTTGATTCAAATGTTTTATTTACTCATTTCTACATTTCCTTATCTGACTGGATATGATTTTGTAACGCTCCGCACTGTATCCTGTATGAATAAACAAGATGCCTGCTCTTGATGTTGTGTCAGGTCAACCATTAGGATTCATTACAAAGTAATTTTCATTCGCTTCAGCGTGACTAGAGCATTACGCTTGATTAACGGCGCTACTGTAGAGAAATCATGGGGTCCACTTTTACGCGTAAGTACAATTTTTCCCAGTTGAGGGGAAGGGTGAGGGTAGCCTGTGAACAGGCCTTTGGTCGAGCGGGGAACTGGGGAGAGGAAATAGCGAAAAGGCCTGTAGACATACATTTGGGACCGCCATTCCGTGCATCAAATCCTGATGCAAGCTCCCATTGGCGAGGATTTGACTGTTGACAGTTCTAATTGACATCGGCTCCTCGGTCGGCGCGTGCCACGCGATTTGAGTAAACATCTCTTCTCCATGTTTAACCAATATTGACACTTACGTGTAACACGTGCCTACGAAAAGTCAAAATTTTGGAGAAACCAAGAAAGCAAACACACTGCGCAATAAATTTTTAAAAATCATCTTTTCCAAAAAACAAGCTTCAGTGAAAGAAGACTTATTTCCGACGAAAAAAAGCGATAGGTGCATATTACGTTTAAACTAAGAAATCAAGATGAAAGATAAAAGTCGCTAAATATTTTCGCATGTGTGCAAATGAGCCTGTGCATCATATTTTAACAGGGAACATGCAAATTTGTCCGTGAGTGAAGAGATCTCAAGTTCCATGGAATCTATCGATGGGAAGCAAGACTAAAATGGCCAAGAAATATTTTAGGACGACAGATTTATTCAAAACAGGTTTTGATTTGCTGTTATAAGCGAAAAACGTACGAATTTCTCACGTGTACAAAGTCCACGCGGTAAACTTCATCATGCTCAGATCGTTGTTTACTTGCCTTCATGGCCAGAAATTGCGCAGCGTTATGTTGAAAATCCTGAAAAAACTTCGGTTTGACGCAAAATCTTCTATTAAACAATACTTTTTGAACACATTGTTACTCGAACATA